AACTGGCCAGGTGTGGCAGCTGATACCTGTAATTCCAACACTTTGGGAGGCCAAGGCAGGCAGATGGCTTGAGTCCGCGAGTTCAAGACCAGCCTGGGTCACATAGTGAGACCCCCCCCCTTCCTTTCCTACAAAAAACTAGATTCACTGGGCATGGTGGCATGTGCCTGTAGTCCCCGCTACTGGGAAGGCTGAGATGGGAGGATCACTTGAGCTAGGGAGATTGATCGAGGCTGCAATGCACCATAATTATACCACTGCACTCTAGCCTGGGTGACAGAGGGAAACCCTCTTTCAAAAAAAAACTAAAAAAGAATAAAATAAAATTACCTGCCTACACAGACTTTCTATTCTTTCTTCCCTGTTTTCTCCATAACACTTTTTGAGAAGGAGTTTCGCTTTTGTTGCCTAGGCTGGAGTGCAATGGTGCCATCTCGGTCACCACAACCTCTGCCTCATGGGTTCAAGCGATTCTCTTGCTTCAGCCTCCTAAGTAGCTGGAATTACAGGCACCACCACACCTGGCTAATTTTTGTATTTTTAGTAGAGATGGGGTTTCTCCATGTTGGTCAGGCCGGTCTCCAGCTCCCAACCACAGGTGATCTGCCCACCTCGGCCTCCTCAAGTGCTGGGATTACAGGTGTGAGCCACCATGCCGGCCTTCTCCATATACTTAATGCTCTCCCACATAATATGTAATTTATTTTGGTTGTCTCTATCACAATGGGATATAAACTTCTTGAGGACAGAGATTTTTATCTGATGTGTTCATTGTTATACCCAGGTCCTCTTTTAGGCCATGAGACTTTTAACAGTAAATAAGAAAAAAAAAAAAAAAAGTCTACTTTCCAAAGGGTTATGCCTCCACACCAGGACATGCAGCTTGGCTAGCAAAACATGGACCTAGATTTTGGCCTCCTCAGCCAATTATACAAGACATAATTGAGCAACCACTACATGGCAGTCCTAGGATGCATTCATAGTCCCTAAAACAGTGCCACCATGTAGCAGGCATGAATAAATATTTGTAGAATAATGGAATAGTTTAGAGTGAGGAGGAAGAGGGATTATGAGATGAGAAAGTAGGCAGAAACCAGGTCAAGTAAGGACTTCTAAGGAGTTGGATCTTTTTTTTTTTTTGTCAACTGATAAGTCCCATGGAATACTTTTCATTAAATCATAGTCTGTATTTTCAGTAAGTGGTGCAAGTAATTCTGCAGTAGAGTTAGTGGTCAAGTTAGTGGTCCAAGTTTCAGTACTTTTGGACCTTGACTTCAGGGATCCATTGCCTGTCTATTTCATCCTTGTCTTTTTGGCATTTTACTTTGCCTGTATATATGGGTTTACCATGTTCTTTCAAATTCTGTGCAAGGGACTTTGGGATGAACTGTATATAAAATGATCACTTTTTTTTTTTCTTGAAACTCCACATCCAGACACAGTAGGATCAAGTTTTTAAGAGGGGTTGTTGCAGAAAACCCAGGACCTCAGGTTCTTGTAACTGAATGGTGAATGAGGGGAGAAATGAGGCCACTTGAACATTACTCTGTTTAGGAACTTGGTGTATGAATTAGTAGAGACCATCACGTATTTCATCAATTGCTAACCTCCCCCTACCCTCCTGACAAAAAACCACCCGCCTTCTTTGATCTTACGATTTAGGGGCCCCTGTTCACTGAGGGGATAACAGCTGGAATTGAGACACTACATTAGTTGTTTTTTGAGCTTTTGTTTCTCTCTCATATTGGATATTTATTTATTTATTTGGTGGCATCCAGCGCCCCATTTTAGAATTTACTTTCTGTTTGAGAAGTTTTTGTTGGCAGTTTTTTATTTTATTGCCTTTCTTTTCTGTGATAGGTTAAGGATACAGCTTGATAAAGAAGGAGCCTGTAGGGGTTTATTGATGGAGTTCCTGTCTCACCATGCCCTAGGCCTAGTACATACATGCTTCTGATGAATCACTGTGGTTAGTATTGAATATCTCCTGATCCTCATAGTCCATGTTATGCAAAGCATGGAATCTGCCCAAGGGACTTAATAGCTAAATCATTCACTTGATCTGTGGCTTTTTCTTTTTCTTCCCTTTGTTCATGGCTACAGGGAAGAATATGAGAGATATAAAACTGTAAGCAAGAAAAAATCTAGACTTTGCATCTTTATTGTTGCCTGGGAAGTGGCCTGGGAGTTCAAATGCAAGGATTTGAAGCTTTGTGCAGCTGCCACAGATAACTTGCTCTCATTGGGATGAGGATGAAGTATTTCCACCTGATTGCTCAAGTCCCTTTTCTCTTTGCCCTGATGTCCCCTCCCTCTTCTCTATTTCATTAATTGCTTAGCAATTGCTGATGCAATTAAAACGAGATGTGTCTGTAGCCTCTGGTTTGCTGTCAGAGCTGTCTTTCTAAGGTCTTCATCTTACTGCTAGGGATGGGTGAACATCTGATTTTGAAGCAAGAGGAGGGAGGGACCTGTGGCTGTAGTTAAATGCAGTTTTCTAAAAGCAGCAGCTTGCAGAGTTGGATTCCTCCTGACACTAATCATTTTACCAAGCCATGCCCTTATGCCCTTATTAATGAACCCTTATGTGGTTCATTAATGGGGCTTATACGTGGTAGAACAGTATATAGAAATGAATCCTGCTGAATTGCTTTTGCTGGTGGTGATGTGGAAAGTGCTTTTCATTTTTAACTAAGAACAAGGAGGAAACAGCCTCAAAGTGTGAAAGAGTCAAAACCAAATCCAGGGGTTTCTGTGGAAGACAAGACCCTCGATATGTTAAGAGAGCTGAATTGTACCACTTAAGCCCCCAGGAAATGCTGATACTGCCAGTCTGGAGACAACGCTTTGAAGAGTTCTGGCCTAAGCATAATTCCTTACACATAGCAAAAACTCAGTATTTGTTAACTGGTTTTTCTCGTAGTCTCTCTTAGGATGTGATAGTTTCCAAATTTTAAAAAAAATTTTATTATTAAATATTTTTTGAGACAGGGTCTTGCTATATTGCCAGGCTGACCTTGAACTCCTCAGCTCAAGCAGTCCTCCTGCTTTGGGATTACAGGCGTGAGCCACCATGCTCGGCCTTTCCAAAGATTTTTATCATTATTTACTTTCAAGCCAGGTTGATTAAAATCATTACCTGAGTTTCTCCCACTATTCTCTTGTCAGATTATTCATGTTTGTTGCTCGCTCTATGTCTCTTAGGGTACTTGATTCTGATAGGCAAAGATGTAGTTACTCTGAAACTTGATATACTTGAGAAATTAATAAAAATGGGGACTAATCAGGATTAAGCACCTTGAGAAACCAAACACCCTCGTTAGGCTTATTTTAGGTCAAATTTATAGTATAAAACTTGCAGGTATACATGTGTTTGTTGTTATTAATAATGACAATCCTTTATTCAGTGTCTACTTTCTGCCAATTTCATGAGGCTTTCTTTAAACATTAATACTGACTTTAGGCTAGCTTAAATATATTATAAATTCTGATACAGATTTCTCTAGTCATGTGTTTTTAATTACTGTGTCAATTCAGAATTTATCAGATTTTTGTTCTAGAAATTAAAAAAAAAAAAGTCAACACACATCACTGCTATAAATTATATCCAAGAATGGGGGCTAAAATAAACTTGCAATATCTTGAAAAATTTATCTTCCATGCCCTATTCTGGGAAGCTAACTGAATGTTTTCTATGAAAAGAGGAAGATGTGATAGAGGAAAGACGAATTTCAATAAACAAGGAAGATTAAAGGAATCCTCAAAATAGTGAATGGAACCGGGCATGGTAGCTCAAGCCTGTAATCCCAGCACTTTGGGAGGCTGAGACAGATGGATCACTTGAGGTCAGGAGGTGGAGACCAGCCTGGCCAACATGGTGAAACTGTCTCTACTAAAAATAGAAAAAATTAGCCAGATGTGGTGACTCATGCCGGTAATCCCAGCTATTAGTGGAAACCTAAGCAAATTCATAAAAAAGATAATAAATACAGAAAAAGCAAAAAGTCATGCAGGAAAGGATAAAGGAATTGTAGTTTACTATGTGCCTCAAGTGTGAATAGCCTTATAGTAGTTATTATAATGTACACTGAATATTGAACTAATGAAAATTACAGTGTCATAAAGCATGGATGGGAGAGCTAAAACGGATGCACGTGTATGGTGGATACAGAAGGAGAAAAGAGATCTAGATGATCATCTTCCAAAGTGAAAAATCAAGATAGTTCCCAAAACTGAAAAGTTAAGAGATAGTAGCACAAACATGTCATTTAGAAACATGGAGGTCATTTACAAAGTAATCAGTTAAAACACGGGCAAGAAGTATACGTCTGGGGAATAGAAGTGGGACAGTAACAGAAGGGAGAGCTGTTTTTTTTTTTTTTTTTTTTTTTTTTTAAACAAACTTTGTAGACCTTTATGTACATGTTTAACTTTGATCTTTTAAAACTAGTGTAGAGTGCTCACTTTAGAAATGAATATGCTAAGATTGGAATGATACGGAAAAGATGTGGGAAAAAAAAAAAAAAAAAAAAAACTTGTGGGCCTAAGAGGAAAATGTTAAAGAAAAAAAAAAAAAAAGAAACTTGATTTAAAACACAATCAGCTGGGTGAAATACTGCCTTCCTATAATCCGAGTGCTTTGGGAAATCTAGGCAGGAGGATCACTTGAGCCCCAGAGTTTAAGACCATACTGGGCAGTATAGTGAGACCCCGTCTCTGCAAAAGATTTAAAAATCAGCCAGACGTGGGGTTGTGCACCTGTAGTCTCAGCTACTTGGGAAGCTGAGGTGGGAAGATTGTTTGAGTTGGAAGGTCAAAGCTGCAATGAGCTGCGAACATGACACTCCTGCCTGGGCAACAGAGCAAGACCCTGTCTCTAAAATAAAAATAAAATTAGACCGGGCACAGTGGCTCATGCCTATAATCCCAGCACTTTGGGAGGCCAAGGCAGGCAGATCACAAAGTCAGGAGTTTGAGACCAGCCTGGCCAACATGGTAAAACCGTGTCTCTACTAATAATACAAAAGTTAGCCAGGCGTGGTGGTGGGAGCCTGTAATCACAGCTACTTTGGAGGCTGAGGCAAGAGAATTGCTGGAAACCGAAAGGCGAAGGTGGCAGTGAGCTGAGATCTCATCACTGCACTCCAGCCCGGGCAACAAGAGCAAAACTCCATCTCAAAACAATAAAATGAAATTAAAATTTAAAAACACCACCAGCTGGGCATGGTGACGCACCTATGGTCCCAGGTATTTGGGAGAATAAGGCAGGAAGATTGCTTGAGCTTTAGCAGTTCAAGTATAGCCTGGGTAACACAGCAAGAGCCAGCTTCAAAACAAACAGAATACTGTCTTAAACAGTAAATTATATTGTGATTAGAGTCCTTGCTCAGTACATAGATCTTTGTCCACATTTGTAATTTGTCAGTTACTATGCTTTTGGCTACATGTAACAGAAACTCTGTTTTAAAGTCGCTTAATAAGGACATTTCTTGTCTCTCGTATTTGGAAGTTCAGAGGTAGATCAGGCTTTTGGATTGTTTTCCTTGTTTGTTTTATATAATATGACTCCCACTTTGTAAGCATTTTATCCAAATATGACAACATGAGTTTAACAAAGGAAATCTGCATTTACTTTTTCTTAGGAGCAAGAAAGCCTTTTCCAGAAGCTCCCAGCAGTCTTGTGTTCTTACTGACTTTTATATCTCATTGACTGTAACTGGGTTATAAGCCCTCTTTTAAGCTTGTTACTAACCAGGGGAATGGGCTTTCAATGATTGTCTTAGAGTGGTATCTTAGGTGAATTGTTGAGAGTCAACCAAAATGTTTGCTAAGGTCAGTCATTTACCTATCAAGTATTTATTAAGAATTCACTCCTTCTTGCAAGAAGCTTTATTGTTGAGTTAGAGGAAAAAAGAAAATAGGTGAATTAAACAAAGTGATTATCAATATGGACAGTCCTGTATATTGTGTAGGTACTCAGTATACATGAATTGAATGAGGCCAGGTGCAGTGGCTCACACTTGTAATCCTAGAACTTTGGGAGGCCAAGGCAGGCAGATTGCCTGAGCTCAGGAGTTCCAGACCAGCCTGGGCAACATGGCAAAACCCTGCCTCAACTAAAAATACAAACAAATTAGCCAGGCGTGGTGGTATATACCCGTAGTCCCAGCTGTTGCGGAGGCTGAGGCGTGAAAATCACTTGAACCCAGGAGGCAGAGGTTGCAGTGAGCCGAGATCACACCACACTACACTCCAGCTTGAGTGACAGAAAAAGACTCTGTCTCAAAAAAAAATATATATATATATAATGAATTAGGCAAATGTAAGTAAAACTTGTTGGTATATAAGTGCTTTAGGAGTGGTAAAGCAGGGAAAAATACATGAAGTTTAGACTAGAATAGGAAGCTTCTTTAAGTGAACAAGGAAGAGGAACTTCTGTTTTCTCATGAGCTAATCACAATGCTATTGTATTGGAATAAATACACTTTTTGTCCAGTAATGTGCTGGTAAATGTTTAACTGGCTTGGAAAAAGGCTTATTTGTGTTTACCAATTTCCATGGTGTAAATAATACTACCTTGGCCAATTTCAGTCTATCAGTGTGGAGTCAACTGTCTTTTATACAAATGCTTATCTCTAACAGTAATTTTTATTTCTAATTAGTTTACTCTGACCATATATTGATAAAGGGAACATTTTGGTTTTTTTTAAATTGGGACAGAGTCTTGCTGTTGCCCAGGCTGGAGTGCAGTGGTGCAGTCTCGGCCCACTGCAGCCTCTGCCTCCCGGGTTCAAGCGATTCTCCTGCTTCAGCATCTCAAGTAGTTGGTGCTACAGGTGCTTGCCACCACGCCTAGCTAATTTTTTTCTATTTTTAGTACAGACAAGATTTTACTTTGTTAGCCAGACTGGTCTCAATCTCCTGACCTCATAATCTGCCCACTTCGGCCTCCCAAAGTGCTGGGATTACAGGCATGAGCCACTGTGCTCAGCCAACATTTTGATTTATAAGTGATCAATAATAAAACCCAGATTACCAATATGAAGTTTTTTTTTTTTCAATATGAAGTTTTAATTTTTTTGTTTATTTTGGGTTTTTTTGGATAGTGGTGTGTTAGAGAAAGTGTAATTTTAAGGTAATATTAAATACTGGTCTTTGAAGTCAACTTTGATATTAGCTTTAGGTACTAGATGAAACGTTACTCATTCGGTTTTTATGACAAGCCAACTATGTGTTCAGCACTACAAAAACAAAAATAAATAAAACTACATTCTCAAGGGCCTCCTTCCCAGTCTTTTAGGAAGACAGTTATTTAACAAGTAACTTCCAGTGGAAGAGCATTAAGGTCTCTTGAGTTTTAAATAAGTGCTATGAAAACACAAAGGAAGGGGAATAAGTTTGGAACATGAAGAAAAGGTATTTGAGTTATATCTTCAAAGGAAGTAGAGCATTTGTCTTGAGGAGAAGAAGGGAAATGACCATTTCAGGTGATAGGAACAGCATGTCCCTAAGTGCTGGCGATAAAAAAATCTGGTGGTTCCAACATTTTTCTTTATGATATATGGTAAGCTCAGAATAGGTAGAGTAGAGAAGAAAAAGAAAAGATAAGCCAAGGCCAGACTGTGAAAGGCCTTACATCATATTTCAAGGAATTTGGATTTCATTTGGGAGGCAAAAGGTAAACAAGATCTTAATAGGCAAGCTTCTATTTCTGCATACCCTTCCCAAAACTGGGTATTTAACATTCCTTACAGTTATGCTAATTTGATAAGAGAGATGCTTTGTCATTTTAATTTGTGCCTTCCTAATAGTGTCATTGAATGTTATTTATTTATTTTTATTTTGAGACAGAGCCTTGCTTTGTTGGCTGGGATAGATTGCAATATTATGATTATGGCTCACTACAGCCTCCACCTCCTGGGCTCAAATGATCCTTTCACATTAGTCTCTTGAGTAGCCGGGACTACAGGTGCATGTGACCATGCCTAGCTAACTTCTGAGTATTTTGTAGAGACTGGGTTTTGCCATCTTGCCCAGGCTGGTTCCAAACTCCTGGGCTCAACAATCTAACACCTCAGCCTCCCAAAGGGCTGGAATTACAGGTGTGAGCCACTGTTCCCAGCCTTGTTACTTTTTGCATATATTTATTGGTCATTTGTATTTCTTCTCTGTATTGTTTCTTTATATTCTTTACTCGTTTTTAGTGCTATAATTCTGGCCTTTATAGTGGATGGACTGGAAAGAGGAGATAACTATTGTCAGCTTGGCCACTGGGAAAAATTGCAGTAACCTGCATCTGTAGACAGGAGAAGATATGAAACTAAACTCTGGCAGCGGGGGGAAGAGGAGGCAGATAGACATTAAGCTGCTATCCAGTGACTTAGTAGCAGGATTTGGATTAAATGTCAGTACTACTGTGTTTTATGCATTTTAATTTAGTACTCTTTCATCATCACCTGCTTCTTTAGTCTCCTTTCCTTCTGATTCTATGAAAGAAAAATAAGAAAGTTTTATACCCTAGAGTCTACACTACGGTCAAGAATGAACTGAGGGTAGGCTCAGTGGCACATGCCTGTAATCCCAGCTCTTTGGAAGGCCAAGGTGGGTGGATCACCTGAGGTTAGGAGTTCGAGATCAGCCTGGCTAACATGGTAAAACCCCTTCTCTACTAAAAAGGCAAAAATTAGCTGGGTATGATGTCAAGTGCCTGTAATCCCAGCTACTTGGGAGGCTGAGGCTGCAGAATCGCTCAAACGTGGGAGGTGGAGGTTACAGTGAGCCAAGATTGTGCCACTGCACTCCAGACTGGGAGATAGAGCGAGGCGAGACTCCATCTCAAAAAAAAAAGAGGCCGGGCATGGTAGCTCATGCCTGTAATCCAAGCACTTTGGAAGCCAAGGTGGGCGGATCACCTGAGATCGGGAGTTCAAGACCAGCCTGACCAACATGGTGAAACCCCATCTTTAAAAAAAAAAAAAAAGGAGAATGAACTGAGGAATCTTATGTTTATAAAGAAAACAAGGCTGCGCATGGAGGCGCATGCCTGTAATCCAGCTGCTTGTGAGACTGAGGCAGGAGAATTGCTTGAACCCAAGAGGCGGAGGTTGCAGTGAGCCAGGATTGCGCCACTGCACTCAGCCTGGGCAACAATAGCGAAACTGTCTCAAAAAAAAAAAAAAGAAAGAAAGAAAAGAAAAGAAAAAACAGGCTTGGTGTAGTGGCTCATGCCTGTAATCCCAACACTTTAGGATAGACCAAGGCAAGAGGATTGCTTGAGACCAGGAGTTCAAGACTAGCCTGGGCAACATAGTGAACTCCTCCCCCACTAACTTGCAAAAAACAAAAAAGAAAGATAAACTATAGATAAATATTGTTTATCTGCTTGTTAGTATATGAATGACTTTGTAAGTGACTACATAGGGAAAAAACATAAAGGAAAAGATTGATAGATTTTTACTAAGTAAAAGTTTAAGATTTTATTTTTATTTTTTATTTTTTGAGGCAAAGTCTCATACTGTCGCTCAGCCTGGAGTGTTCTCGGCTCACTGTAACCTCCACCTCCCAATTCTCCTGCCTCAGCCTCCCAAGTAGCTGAATTACAGGTGCCCACCACGACTCCCGGATAATTTTTTGTATTTTTAGTAGAGACAGGGTTTCACTATGTCAGCCAGGTTCGTCTTGAACTCCTGACCTTGTGATCTGGCTGCCTTGGCCTCCCAAAGTGCTGAGATTACAGGAGAGAGCCCCTGCTCGAGGCCAAGGTTTTTTCTTATATCAGGAAAAATCCTGGCTGGGTGTGGTGGCTCATGCCTATAATCCCAGCACTTTGGGAGGCTAAGGCGGGTGGATCACGAGGTCAGGAATTTGATACCAGCTTGGCCAATATGGTGAAACTGCGTCTCTACAAAAAATACGAAAATTAGCTTGGTATGGTGGCACACTCCTGTAATTTCAGCTACTCAGGAGGCTGAGGCAGGAGAATCACTTGAACCCGGGAGGCGGAAGTTACAGTGATTGGAGATTGCGCCACTGTACTTGAGCTGGAACAACAGAGTAAGACTCCATCTCAAAAAAAAAAAAGATCATGAGTGAATGAATATTACTGAATGATCTTGTTTCACTACAGTCCTAAGTTTTGTCATTAGTCTATTTTAGTCATCTTATAGATCCTGGAGTTGTTCCTTCTCATTCTTTACTTGGAATAATTTACATGTAAAATAATTAATAAGATTTATGGGCTAGGCTCCGTGCTCACGCCTGTAATCCCAGCACTTTGGGAGGCCAAGGCGGGCAGATCACTTGAGGTCAGGAGTTCGAGACCAGCCTGACCAACGTGGTAAAACCCCATCTCTGCCAAAAATACAAAAATTAGCTGGGCGTGCTGGTGTACCCCTGTAGTCTCAGCTACTCAGGAGGCTGAGGCAGGAGAATTGCTTGCACCCAGGAGGTGGAAGTTGCAGTGAGCCAAGATCACACCATTACACTCCTGCCTAAACGACAGAGCAAGGCTCTGTCTCAAAAAAAGAAAGATTTATGACCATACATGGTGGCTCAGGCCTGTAATTCTAGCACTTTGGGAAGCCGAGATGCATGGATTGCGTGAGCTCTGGAGTTTAAGATCAGCCTGAGCAACCCCATGGCAAAATCCCATCTGTACAAAGAAATACAACACCTATCTGGGCATGGTGGTGTGCGCCTGTAGTCCCAGCTACTCTAGAGGCTGAGATGGGTGGATTCCTTGAGCCCAAGATGTTGAGGCTGCAGTGAGCTTTGATAGGGCCACTGTATTCCACCCTGGGTGACAGATTCCTTGTTTCAGAAAAAACAACAAAATTGTGCAGGATCTGAATTTTTTAAAAATTTTAAATTATTAAAAATTACAAAACAACAAAAATATTTACATTTAGATTTTGCTATTATTTTTGCATGTCTTTTTTGTTCCTCCTTCCCTCCATCACAGCCCTCTTTTGTGATAAATAGATATGTTCTATTGTATATAGTGTAGGGAGACCCATTTCTATGAAAAAAATTAAGAATTAGCTAGAACAGAGGGAAAAGAAAAAGAATTATTAGCTAGGAGTGATGGAGCAGGCATGCCAATAGTCTCAGCTATTTGGGAGGCTGAGGTGAGAGGATCACTTGAGCCCAGGAGGTCAAGCTTCAGTCAGTTGTGATTGTACCACTGCTCTACAGCCTGGGTGATAGAGCAAGACCCTGTCTCAAAAAATAAAAAAAAATAGCCGGGTGCGGTGGCATGTACCAGAAATCCTAGTACTTTGGGAGGCCGAGGCAGGTGGATCATTTGAGGTCAGGGGTTTGAGACCAGCCTGGCCAAAATGGGGAAACCCCGTCTCTACTAAAAATACAAAAAAGACCAGGCGCCATGGCACACGCCTGTAACCCCAGCACTTTGGGAGACTGAGGCGGGTGGAACATGAGGTCAGGAGATGGAGGCTATCCTGGCTAACACAGTGAAACCCCGTCTCCACTAAAAATACAAAAATTTAGCCAGGTGTGGTGCCGTGTGCTTATAGTCCCAGTTACTCTGGAGGCTGAGGCAGGAGAACCGCTTGAACCTGGGGGACAGAGGTTGCAGTGAACCAAGATTGTGCCACTGCACTCCAGCCTGGGCGACAGAACGAGACTCCATCTAGAAAAAAAAAAAAAATTAGATGGGCATGGTGTGGGTGCCTGTAGTCCCAGCTACTTGAAAGGCTGAAGCAGGAGAATCACTTAAGCCCAGGAGGTGGCGGTTGCAGAGAGCTAGAGATCTCATTACTGCACTCCAGCCTAGGCAACACAGTGAGACTTGTTTTTTAAGCATGTCTCAAAAGAAAAAAACTTGTTTCTATATAGCTCTGTTCCCTTCTTTGTCCTTTGCGCTGTTACTGTAATACAAATGACATTATATGCCCATTAACACAGATTGTAAATATTGCTTTATGCAGTTGTCTTTTAAATCAGATAAGAGAAAAAAAAAGAGTTACAAATAAAAAATACATTTATGCAGTCTTTTGTATTTTCCTACTATGGTAGGTAGGCAGAATACTGCCTCCTCCAAAAACATCTGTGTCTTAATCCCTGGAACCTGTAAATATGTTACTTTATATGGCAAAAGAGATTTTATAGATGTTATATAAATTAGGGATTTTGAGATGGAGGATTAGCCTGGATTATCCAATGGTTCCAATGTAATCACAAGGGTTCTTGTAAGGGAAAGAAGTGGGCAAGACAGTCAGAGAGAGATTTCAAGATATGGTATACTACTTGGTTTGAAGATGGAGGTAGGGGATGAGCCAAGGAGTTTAGACAGCCTCTTAAAGCCTAGAAAAAGCAAGAAAAATGGATTCTGTCCTGGAGCCTTCACAAAGAAATGCAGCCCTGCCTACATGTTAATTTTAGTTCAATGAGAATCATTTTTAGACTTCTTACCTCCAGAACTATATGATAATAAATTTGCATTGTTTTACTCTAATAAGTTTATAGTAATAGTTCTTACTGCTGCTGTAACTTAATACAGCTATGGTGGTGGCAGGGGGAGTTAGCTTTACTGATATTCTTTGTGTGGATTAAAGTTACTGCCTAGTGCCCTGTCATTTCCCTTAAAGATTCCCTTTAGTGGCCAGGCATGGTGGCTCATGCCTGTAATCCCAGCACTTTGGGAGGCCAAGGTGGGTAGATCACCTGAGGTCAGAAGTTCAAGACCAGACTTACCAACATGGAGAAACCCCATCTCTACTAAAAAAAAATACAAAATTAGCTGGGCGTGGTGGCGCATGCCAGTAATCCCAGCTACCCAGGAGGCTGAGGCAGGAGAATCACTTGAACCTGGTAAGTGGAGGTTGCAATGAGCCAAGCTCACACCATTGCACTCCAGCCTAGGCAACAAGAGTGACACTCCATCTCAAAAAAAGAAAAAAAGATTAGATTTCCTTTAGTATTTCTTGTAGGGCAGATGAAGCTATCTCTTTCAGTTCTTTCCTTTCCTTTCTTTTCTTTATTTCTTTTTCTTTTTCTTTTTTCTTTTCTTTGAGACAGAGTCTCACTCTGTTGCCCAGGCTGGAGTGCAGTGGTGCAGTCTACAGCCTCTACCTCCTGGGTTGAAGTGATTCTCCTGCCTCAGCCTCCCGAGTATCTGGGACTACAGGCACACGCCACCACGCCCAACTAATTTTTATATTTTTGTAGAGATTTGGTTTCACCTTGTTGGCCAGGCTGGTCTCAAACTCCTGACCTTAAGTGATCCTCCCACCTTGGCCTCCTAAAGTGCTAGGATTACAGGCATGAGCTACCACTCCTGGCCTCTTAATTCTTGTTTATCTGGGAATGTCTTAATTTTTCCTTCTTTTTTCATAGATAGTTCTGCTAGATAGAGAATTAAATACTCAACTGTTGACAACTTTGCTTTTTACCCTTCACTTTTTTTTGAGACAATCTTACTCTGTTGTCGGGGTTGGAGTGCATTGTCGTGATCCCAGCTTACTTCATCCTCTGCCTCCCGGGTTCAAGCAATTCTGCTGCCTCAGCCTCCCAAGTAGCTGGAATTACAGGTGCATACCACCACGCCCACCTAATTTTTTGTGTTTTTAGTAAAGATGGGAGTTTCATCATGTTGACTAGGCTGGTTTTGAACTCCCAGCCTCAAGTCATGCATCCACCTTGGCCTCCCAAAGTGCTGGGATTACAGTCGTGAGCCACTGCACCCAATCACTTCCTTTTTAAATTTCATTTAATTTTTGAATTTTTTTGGAGATGGGGGTCTCACCATATTACCCAAGCTGGTTCAATGGCTATTCATGGGCTTGAACTCCTGGCCTCAAGCTATCTTCCTGCTTCTTCCTCCTGAGTAGCTGGGACTATATGCATGCCACCACACTGGACTCGCCTTCACTTTCTGCTTGTGCAGAGCTTCAGGGTCAGCCAGAGGTGAGAGTTTAGGGCATTCTCAGTACTTGGCCTCAGCCCTGGGCATTTATACAGCCTTGTGCATGCATGTGGCTTTTTTTCTTCTACTCTCAGGAAATCTAGGAAAGCCCTGTGAACATGTCCTTCCCCAGCTTTTCCTTTTAAGTTTTCTGGCAGCCACAAAGTTAAGCATGTCCCTATACTTTTCACAAATACTCCCCCTCCCAGGGAAAAAGCTTTTTATGCTGGGTAAGCTCTGAGTCTGGTCAAATATATATAGATAACCTTGAAAGTGGGGCCTTCCAGGGAACCACCAGAAAGGTCAAATAATGATAATTCCCTGGGAATGAAGCTTCAAAGGCACCCCAACCCTGTCCTCCCCCCTCTAGTGATTGTCAGGCTGCTGCTTTTTCACTGTGATTGCAGACTGTTGATTTTTCAGAGCAGGAGATGGGAGTAAGGCAAATTAAGGTGCTAACAAAGCTCAGTGTTCTTACTGATATTTAGGTGTTTGCTTGAAAAGTGATCCTTGGCTCGTTGTAAGCCTTTGGTGTTAATTTCCAGAATTCTGAAAAACTTGATTTTGGCAATTTTTGTTCTATGGAGAAGATAATTTTTAAAGATCCTTTACTCTGCCAATTTTGCTCATGTCCTCCCTCATTCTTTAAAGGCTTTTTTAGTTCCTGGCTCAGAGTCACCCTCTCCAACACTATTCTTGGCTTAATTATTGGTGAATTCTATGTCCATATTAATTGTCTTTCCAATATCTTTGTTTCTTAATTCCTTGTTCATGTCTCTCCCAAAGATTTTTGACCTCTATCCTGTCTCAGATGCTACTCCCATAGTCATACTCTAGACCAGTGCACCAGGACCAAGCTGTCTATCTTTGTAAATAAAGTTTGTTTAAATATAGCCTTGCTCCTTCCTTTTATATGTCGTCTACAGCTTCTTTCATATTGCAACAGCCAAGTTGAGTAATTGCAGCAGACACCATTAACTCTCAAAACCTAAGGTATCTATTGCCTCTTTACAGAGTTTGCTGACTCTTGCCCTAGACCTAGTCAATTAGAGCTGCATCACCTCTGTTATTTCAGTATCAAGCATGCTATTCTTCAGTCACCCACTTTTGTTTTTATAACCCCCTTCCTCTAGAATCTCTGCTCTGTCAATTCTTTTGACATGGTGAATTACCCTCCAATTTTTGTACTGTGTATTACATTCTTTTTTGTCTGTACTTCCTATTGAACTTATATTCATTATAATTGCTTTCTTTACATTCTTAAATTTCTTACTGACAAAACCTCAGTCCATCTTTTTGATTACTTCATGCCTGTACCTGTGTATCTACGTGTGGCTGAAAAAACTGTTCTGCCTGTTCTCACAATCATTAGCCTTAAGCAATCCTACATTTCCCTATCCATTCACTCTTTCATACCTGTTGGTCTTCTCAAACAATTCTCTCTCATCTTCACTCTTGTTTAGCACTTCAATGAAACATAGAAATAATGTGCTTCTACCCGTATGCACACATCTTCCCATTTATTTTTACTCATAACTATGCATTTGTCTGTGTCTTCGCCTGTGAGCTGCCTATGTCCCTGTCTAGGGCTGATCTTTCCTGTTCTGCACAAGTTCTCATCTTCTTGTCTATTCAAGGACTTGACTATAACAATTCTCCCTTTTTTTTTTTTTTTTTAATCTCTTGCAGAATTACTTTTTTTTTTTCTGTTTGTAGGATCATTCCCATCAACAGTAAAATGCACTAAATTTCTCAAATCTTTTAAAAACAATCTCTCTTGATCCCACATCTTCATCCAGCAAGTACCCTCGTTCTTTATTATCCTTAGAAAAACTCCTCAAAAAACAATCGGTACTCCAATTGTAGACTCCAAATATAATGTACCCAACTGTCTCCATTCCTCTCCTGTTTTTCTCCTAAAGCTCTGCCATTCTGTAGAGACTACCCTTGTCAAAGTCATCAGTGACCTCTTTGTTGGTTAATCGAATGATTAATTCTCAGTATTTTTAAAACATAGCTTTATTGAGATGCAATTCACCCGCCACAAAATTCACCTTTTTTTGTTGTTATTGTATTGACAAGGTCTTGGAATGTTGCCCAGGCTGGTCTCAAATTCTGGGCTCAAGGGATCACCCTGCCTTGGCCTCCCAAAGGGCTGAGATTACAGATGTGAGCCACCACACTGGCCAAAATTCACTTTAGAAAATACAGAGGATTTTTTGGATATTCATAGAGTTGTGCAGCCATCATCATAGTTTTCAGCATTTTTAGCACTCCAAAAAGACATTTTATGCCCTTTATTAGTCATTCTCCATTCCTTCTTTCCCCCAGCCCTTGGAAGCCTCTACTCTACGTTGACTTTATAAATTTACCTCTTTCGGACATTTCATGTAAATAGAATCATACAATATGTGGTTTTTGTGTCAGGCTTTCATTTAGCCTGTTAAGGTTCATCTACATTATAGCATGTATCAGTGCTTTTTCCTTTTTACTGCTAAGTATTTTTTTGTTGTTGTTTTTCCTTTTTTCTTCAGAGACAGGGTCCCGCTCTGTTGCCCCAGCTGGAATGCAGTGGCACAATCTCAGCTCATTGCAGCCTGGACTTCCTGGGCTCAAGCAATCCTCCTACCTAATCCTCCCAAGTTGCTGGGACTATAGGCTTGGGTCACCACACTCAAGTAGCCAAGTATTATTCTATTTTACGGAGAAACCATATTTTGTATATACATTCTTCAGTTTGAAATGCCTTTGTAGCCGGGCGCGGTGGCTCATGCCTGTAATCCCAGCACTTTGGGAGGCCGAGGCGGGTGGATCACGAGGCCAAGAGATCAAGACCATCCTGGTCAACATGGTGAAACCCCGTCTCTACTAAAAATACAAAAAATTAGCTGGGCATGGTGGCGCGTGCCTGTAATCCCAGCTACTCAGGAGGCTGAGGCAGGAGAATTACCTGAACCCAGGAGGCGGATGTTGCAGTGAGCCGAGATTGTGCCATTGCACTCCAGCCTGGATAACAAGAGGGAAACTCTGTCTCGGGGAAAAAAAAAAAAAAAAAAAAGAAATGCCTTTGTAAAAACTGTAACAGTGAGAGAAATCTAACCTGACTCTATCTTGCTTCTACAAGCTAATTGCCTTTGTTAACTTAAAATCAAAGATGATAACAAATCCCTCTTGAAACTAACCACACCCACACCCCCACTCTGCCACCCTGCACCTTTCTTGGGATCAAAATCACCTTCCTAAAACCAGTGAAAGGCCACGAGATTAGAATTATGGGAGAGGCTTGAATTTTACTAAAATGTAGATGTAGTTAAACAATAACCAACCATTGTTCTCTAGCTTGCTTTTCTACAATTCCTTACTGCTTGGGAGTCATGTGGCAAGAGATCACAAGATTTGTTTTTTATTTTATTTTTTTTTTTTAGATGGAGTCTTGCTCTGTCACCCAGACTGGAGTGCAGTGGTGCAATCTTGGCTCACTACAGCCTCTGCCTCCTGGGTTCCAGAGATTCTCCTGCCTCAGCCTCCTGCGTAGCTGGTATTACAGGTGCACACCACCACACCCGGCTAATTTTTGTATTTTCAGTAGAGATGGGGTTTCATCATGTTGGCCAGGCTGGTCTCGAACTCCTGACCTCAGGTGATCCACCTCAGCCTCCTAAAGTGCTGGGATTACAGATGTGAGCTGTGCCCAGCAGAGGTCACGAGATTTGTCACTTCCCCAATTGCTCCTATAGCTTACATCACTATTGTAGAACCTAAGACTGGTCTTTTAAGATGTTTTTCAGACTTTTGCGTCCTGGTGGCCAGCTGATTCCATGACGTAACCAGTTATG